CCGGTACGTCCAACTAACGTCCGCTCGGGACGTAAAATGGACGTCCATAGGACGTTCGGCGCAGCGACATTCGGACCAATATAGGACGTTAAAACGGACGTAAATAGGACCAAAGCGGACGTCCGAGGGACGTCCTTAAAGTCCGTGAGGGACGTACTATGGACGTCCATTGGACGTACGTGTGCTATTAGGGTATGAGTGTGGGTACGGTGGACCAGTGTAGAAGATGGGATAAGGTGGCGAAAGAGTATATCAATATCAACATTCCACGACCAGAAGTAATAAAGTAATAATTACAATGAACATATGGAAGGTGTCGATAAAATGGACTTTTTAATTACTCTCTACCAGACTTTCTTTCGTAGTCGCAAGTGGACACTTCGACTTTTCACTCATGCTACCGAGTTAGCTTGTAAAAATGCCTGGCTTGAATATAAGTCAAAAGCAATGGTACTCGGTGCCCAAAAAGATGATCTTAGACCTTTTACACTTTCGGACGCATGTTATTGAAGCCTTCATTTTGAGTAACAAAACTAATCTAGCAAAACGCGGACGACTATTAGCTACACCTCCTTCTACACCCTCCACAAGCAGAGGACGACAAGAATAATCACCCGTAGACGATATTCGACTGGATCGATATGGCCATTTTCCAGTTTTTGATGACAAAAGTTTTGCATCTCGCTGCAAATTTCCTTCATGTAAGAGGAGTCATATAAAATGTGAAAAATGTAATGTTCACCTATGTGTTAGTAAAGACCAGAATTGTTTTAAATTAAATCATATTTAATAGAAGCTTTTTGTGTTATTATCTCCAAAAAAAATAAAAAAAATATAAATATTTCATCAAATATTCACTCGTCACCAATTGTAGCATTGAGACCCAGTGTGCACTGTGGTGCACACATCATAACTCAAAAACTATTAAACTTGGGCTTTTGGACAAAACGTCAAAAACTTACAAAAAAATAATAATACTAATGTGCCAAAACCAGAGTTTTTTATCATCGCAAAATAAATCAGAACCAAGAGGGTTAGCTACTGTTCATATCTATATCAAAGTAATATAAATGTGTGACATAACAAGATACAAGAGATTAAGTCGCAGTGCCGACTCTGTTCTTAATATGTTTAATAAATACATACATACAACAATCCAGTTTAGCCTATACGATTGGAATCGCAACCAATTTTCTTAATAAGTTAAAAAGCACATGGGCGGAGGTCATACGAATCATTATTTATTATTTTTTATCCCATTTAACTAAGTCGTGCCTAGTATTGGTATATTTGAAAACATTATTTTGGTGAAAGTCTACTTTCAGTATGCAATAGCATACTACAGAAGATGTCTTGACGTTTTAATCTATATTGGGGATGTTTGGCCATGTTGTGCATTTTTGATCCTTTGAACAGGACATATTGGTTTGGAACGTTGTTAGTTAAATTTTAAATACTAACCTGTTTCCTAAAAGATGGAAGATTTTCATGAGCTGTTAAGGCAGAGTGGAACAAGAACTAGAGGACAAAATAATGCATCACACCGCACGACAACAAGTAATAGAATTGATAATATAGAAAACTGTATAACTTTTTTATAAGAAGATTAAGGAGTTCTGAGACATTGTCCCAGACCTTTCCTGGTGTATTATTTTTAATTTGATGTTATTTAAATTCTTCTAACAGTATATTTTTGCTTTATTATAGTGTAAGATGCCTCATACGTGGAAGAAGAAAAATCCTGAGAGGGCTGCTTCATTAAAGTCTCTCATTGTGGAGGCCATTCAGCAAATTAAAGAAGGGAACAGCATAAGACAGATAACAAAGACTTATAGTATTTCAAAATCGGTTCTTTAACGCCATTTGAAGAAATATGATAAAGGAATGCGTTGTTTTTTGTTCTAACTTGATGTGTGGTATGGTATTCTTCGAAGAGCAAGAATTTGTTGTAGTAGAATACATCCTGGCATCAGTTCAGGTCAGAATTCTATCAAGTGACCTGAAAAATAGGCAATTCATGGAAAGTTAACCAAATGGCAGGATATGACTGATTCAAAGGCTTCATAAAACGCCACAAAGAACTTTGGCTTAGGTCTCCAGAAGCTACAAGTCTGGGAAGGGCAATAAGCTTCAACGAAACCAATGTTGATATGTTCCTAAATAACATAAAAACTATCCATGAAAAGTATAATACCACCTCAGATCGTATATTCAACTATGACGAAACAGGAATAAGTACAGTCAATATTCCACCCAAGGTTATGGCTAAGCGTGGTGAAAATCAAGTAAGACAAGTGACATCGTCTGAAAGAGGGGAACAAAATCACTGGCCTTTTTATAGTAAATGCAATAGGAAACACTTTACCATCTGTACTTGTGTTTCCCAGAATCAGATATAAGTAGTTTTTCTTAAGTGATGTACCTCTAGGCAGCATTGTTCTAACTAGCAAGATAGGTTGGATGTCAAGTGATCTTTTTAAACAGAGTCTAGAACACATAATTCATTACACAAAATGCACTAAGGATCAACCAATATTGTTAATTTTAGACAACCACGAGAGCTATGTGGGTTAAGAAGTGATAATGACAGCAAAAGAAAAGGGAGTTATACTTTTAACGTTTCCACAACATTGTAGTCACAGACTGCAGCGCCTCGATGTGTCTTTTTGCTCCATTTAAAAGGCAATATAACAGAGTTTGTAATGATTAGCTACTGAATCACCCAGGCAAAACCATATCCATCCACTGCATAGGTGATCTTTCCCCACAGGGCAAGCTTACCGTTTGACTGTAACGCAGAGGAATATTATTGTTGGTTTTCGAAAGTCTGGCATCTACCCTTTCAACAGTGAGCCATTCACCGAAGCAGAATTTTTAATGTTTTCAGTAACTGACCGGCCTCTCCATCTGCACAAGCTAATGGTACTTCTTCCTCAGCGGAACAAGAATATCCTGAAATGGACCATACAGCCAGTATATATCATTCCACAAAAGATACTTCTACATCTTTTGAAAAACTATCAATTTCAGAAGACTCCAACGGCACTCAAGAACTTATAATCCTAATGAAAATCTTGATTACACCTAATCAAATCTGACCATTTCCTAAAGCTACACAACGCAAAGAAGCTCGAAGAGGAAGGAAAGAGAGGCAGAAGTCGTATTTTAACTAGTAGACCAGAGAAAGCAGAGGCCGAAAGATTAGCTCTCGAGAGAGAAAGGAAGAAGTCTAGTAAATTATCTGTAGCCATCCGCAATCTATCTAATAAGAAGAAAGTTTGTGAAGATTCTGAGTCTTCGTCCAAGTAAGTACAAATTCCATATCAATGACCATATCATGATCTAGAAATATCTTTGACTTCTGATGAGGATAAAATGAAAGAAATAGATTGGAATAATAGTTCTGTGGATCTAAAGACTGACCATTTTGTGCTTGTTAAATTTTGTACTAAAAAGTCTGTTGTTTATCATGTTATGTGGGGCACAATAGCAATATTGAGAAACAGGATATATTCTTAAATTGCCTGTATCAATATCATCTGGAGGCAGAGAGAGTAAAATCACTGTTTGTATTTCCGGTTAAATTGTCAAAATACAATGTACAATAAAGAAAAGGTTTTATTGCGTTGAAAAAAAAACAAACATTTATTACATCCTGTCCCGGACCTCCCTAGTAGTGTCCTACTCCTCCCAGTGGTATGGGTGGTATGGGACACTTCAGCTCCTCACACTCCATTATACTTCATTTTAAAGAATACTTATATCAGCCATTTTTTTTAAATTGAGTAGGCCAAAGGGCTATCTAATACATCCTATAAAAGCTATATTATTTCACTAATATATTATTCAAAAAGTGTCCCACGCCTCCCACTTCTGCCCTAATTGTTTCAGCTTTAAATTAAGTTCGTAAATTTATTTTATCTGTGTTAATAGAAAGTTATAACTATTAAACATTAAAAATTTCACTAATAGTTGCGAACTAATTTGATTATAAGTGATTTAAACAAAATTAAACTATAAACTCTGAAAATCTGGCTAATTAAAGTTATGGAACAACTCAAAACAAACATTTTAAGCTTTGGTATATGTTTCTATGTTAATTTTTTTCCGAGATATTAAAAATTTATTTAACGTGAGCGGTTTACGCGCGCCCGCATTCGCCGCAAGCTGACCGTCCGCCTCAGAGCGCCTTATTAACAGTTTCATATCTTAATCAAAAATTAACATAGGTATAAACATTTACCAAATTTTACACTATTTGCTTTAAGTTGTCTATAACTTCCATTAGCCATATTTTTAAAGTTTATAGCTTAATTGCGTTTAAATCTCTTAGGAAAAAATTAATTCGCAACTTTTTAATGAAATTTTTAATGTTTAATTGTTATAACTTCAAACTTATAACAATATCTTGAAGAATAGAGCAAATTATCTACTAAAACGTTCTTTCGGGGGTCATTGAATAAATACAATATGAAGGAATGTAATGATAAGATAAGAAATAAAGGTTAAATTTATATCCGAATATAAATTACAGTGACGACAAATTGAATATTAATATAACATTAATTTAAAATTTTTGTATACATTGATACATTCATTAATATACATTTTTTGATACTATCCTAATATTAAAAAATATACAAATTTTATAATTTAATTTGTAGTTTTATTAGAAAATCCGTCGGCCATCTATAGAGTAGTAGTTTAACTATAGCTGTTTATGCGGCAATAAAAAAAGCAATCTATCCTATGTAGAATTGACGTTTAGATGACGTTCTGTCACTGTTGTCACTCAAAATAAACGTGCAGATTAAGAATTATCTGATTCTGAATCCCACGAATTTCGTTGGTAGAGTAGAGGACTTACATCACATGCTGTGATTACGTATATGTGCGAGTGAATTCGGATTTGCAGGCCACTGATAACCAGCAGCTACTCCAATTCACAAACTTCCTATACGGTTAAGTACGACCTCTCTCACCTTGAATTCAGACATGTAAGTTTTCTTTAACTATAAAAACTCAGTTGCTTTACATAACCAAGGAGATTCTGTTCTTTTTTAGCCCCTCAGTTAAAATGGCATCTATCAAGTCTTTGAATTTAATAGGAAATTTAAACAAGGTAATCACCAGAAGATCATTTTCAACAACAAATGCTGTAGCCTCCAAGCCAATGACTGTCAGAGATGCTCTTAACTCAGCCATGGACGAAGAAATGGAAAGAGATGAGAGGGTGTTTATTCTAGGTGAAGAGGTAGCTCAATATGATGGAGCTTACAAAGTAACCAGAGGTCTTTGGAAAAAATATGGAGACAAAAGAGTCATTGACACACCAATTACTGAAATGGGATTTGCTGGTAAGTTACTTTTGAATATAAATGTGTTTGAATACCATTGACTGTTCCTCTCTATTTTGTATTCCAAAACTCTGACAAAAGGGGATTCGTAAGGGAATTATTGTCTAGGTAACTCTTTAGACATTAAGTGTGTTAACTACTATTATTTTTGTGCTTAGCATTTTTAAATGTTATTGTCATTCATCTGGAAGAAGATTGTTACATAGAACATTTATTAAATTTTGCTTTAATTGGTGATTTAACTGACTTAGTGTTTAAAGATGGAAATGTTTTATATGTAAACTTATTATGATATTGGAAATCATTAAATGTCAATTTGGATTTCTTTTAAAATGCCTTTGATTAACAAAAATAAGAAGTATTACTTAAAAAATGTGTCCATTTGTAAAAGGTTCTTTCAAAGCAACACATTATTTTTGGTTTTGTAAAAATTCAAATAGCACCTAGGTAAACATTGCCTTCTTCTATTTGCAGGTAATAATCTTTTTTCGTTGCATGACTTGTTTACAGGTTTTTAAACCTTTTTTGTATTTTTTTATGTCTACTTTTTGTCTTAAATTAATTATTAGCACTTGATCATAATCACTTTGTTTCAAGGAAGGTATATACAAAAGAATATTGGAATTTAACTTAGGTAATTACTCTAAAATGAGATCATTTTAAATTTTTAGGCGCATTTAGAAAGAGACATGAACATTATTGATGCTGTCTCCTTTAAACATGTCCAATTTGTTACAAGGTCCTAGTAGTTAATGTATTAGACGCTTATAGTATGAAAAAAGTATGGTATGAAAAATATTATCACTAAACCCACATTTTCACATTAACATGCCAAACATTCTAAGTCTAATGTCAGTTAATATAATTACAGTCAACTGAGTAACTGAGTTTAATAGCATCATCATTGGTGGGATGACCTAAGTTGAAACCTGACTTTCGTAAGCTTATTATATGATCATTTGGTCCTATTTCTTGCAGCCTGATGTCAATTAACAATACGAATCTTCCTGGCATCTTCATCTTCATCATTGCTCCATCTCAATTTTGGTCTTCCTCTTCGTCTAGTTGTGTTGGAATATGCCAATAGAATAAATTATTCAGGGTAGTTTTCACTTGCTCTGTAAACTCTACTGGTTCAAGGTAACCTAAGTTAATATCAATAAAATAATTATTCTTCTAATTTTTCCTTATTTCTTAGATGTTTATTTTCATGTAAATATTTATATGCATTTCATTCCAGTATATCACAATAACACTGACATATTGCTTCTTTAGCCAAATAAATACCAGTGGGTTATTTGAGAATATGATATAGACACACACCTAAACAATGTTCAATCGGAAAATCATAACAGTGAACTATAGTGAGATTTGTGATGTGACTACTTCGCTCTGACTACTTTGAGGTGTAACATCATTGTGCCTAGGTGATGCTTGTGGCCCAGGGAGAAAAGTGTTACTTTAGTGATGCTGCAACTGGAGTTAGCAAACTTTACGAGATTATAGCTTTGGCACAATATGAGCATAGAGTCTTATTTAATATTTCTTTACTGGATCACTTTTTTTCATTTTTACTTATACATCTGCTGAAGGCTACTGCTTGATGGTCTTCCTAATCTCTTCTATCCAGCTGTTTTTTCTGCTTTTCATAGAGCATTAGCAATTCTCTGTTTGAAGGGTATCAAATTTTTGGCTCTTCTGGTAATAACCAACAGATTGCCATGGCCATATCAATGAAATAAAAAAATATTCATAACTAATATTTCTTCGGTGTGATTTTGTACAAAAATCCTAACATCGAAACCAAGACATGATCTATTTCTCACATGTAGGTGTTTACTATCTTTATTGGGAATTAACAAGTATTTCAGTAAATACTTTTATTTTGATGTTTCAGTTTCCACTTTAAAAATATTTTCTTTTAATAGAGAACGATTACAGAAGAGGAAATTGAAACTTTAAAAATGTATATTAAACTGAAATTGTGGCTAATTACCAATAAAAGTACTAAGTAATACTAAAATGTCATAAGAAAATGGTTTCCGAACAATATCCCATGTAGTCGTTATAGATAAGGAGACTGTTAATGTAAGGTATCATTTAATGTGCATTTTCTTTTTCATGCAGTTCAGTTCCATCATAACGTAGGATGCTACACTGTCATTGTCTATATTGGCCATTTTCTGTACAACATGACCTCTGTCTCACTTCTTCAGTTCTTTCTTAGTGGGCATCACAACTCCTGGAGGATGATTTTGTCTTATTGTTCCTATTGGTAAATTACCCTCTTTAGTAAAATAAATCATAAGAGGTAGGCTTTTAAATCAATTGTCAAAAAACAACTTGTAATGTTAATGTTTTGGTATCAAATCTACTAATTTGGCAACCACTTTGCTGCTGATACTAAGGTTTGGTGCCCTTGGAGGCCTAGTATTACTTTGGGAACAAGCAAACAAATCAAAGTCATATCTAAATCCCTAAATACTATTCAGCACAAAGATTTGAAGGCTCACATCAAATTCCAATTTTTTCTTGCTGTAACAAACGTTTTTAGCATAAAAAAGACCTCAAACTTTGAACACTTTTTCATGTGGTTCACAATTTCTACAAGAATAATACACAGCTGGCTATCTCGTTGCCAGAGAGAATCTGTATATAGTAGTATCTGTAAAACTACTAAATTATACAGATGCAGCAGAATTAGAATCCATGCAAAATGGTCTCTCACATTCAGGCTTAGATGTAAGATGTCATACTAGTTTAAAAAATAATATCTAAAAAGGTATTATTCAAGTCGTAGGTTTGCAAAAAATTAAAACAAAATGTTTGCAAATTCTCTATTGTTTGGGGTTAGATATTTTTTGCATAATGAAGTATGTACTTATATGTTAGTTTTTTTGAATGTATTAAGCAGTAAGACACTTTGTTTGACCATAATAAATAGCTGTCTCTTAACGAACAATAAACAAATTTAATTTAAGAATAGTAAATTTTTGGTTTTTAATCTATTTCTTATTTATCCATATAACTGATATAATCTTTATAATTAATGTAATTGGTGTAATGTCAGCGAACTCATAAAATCTTAAGCAATATTTAAGAAGTCTCTAATCTGTTACTATGTAAAAATAAGGTACTTGTCTATTGATTATCATTTTTTCAATGTTGTTGTTGTGCAATCCCTATCGAATTTAAATATCTCCAAAATAAAAATTTATATGTATGAAGAAAATATATTGATACAATGGTAAAAGGTTTAAACATCAACAAAACTCTTAAGAGCTGTATTTTGTCTTTAGACAACCTGAAAAATAATAAATTAATGGTTACTACAACTCTACAGTAGTTATAAAAGAATGCATTTCCAACCAATAATTAAATTAAACAATGTGATAAAACTATGCCATGAATTTTTTGAAAAATGTTCATCTGAGGAGTGGAAAAATGTCTGCGAAAACGATTCAAATCAAAGATGAATTTACAACTAAACAAAATTATTATGTAAATGTATAATAAATTATCTGAACCCTACTTTCATCATTCACAGTATATATATATATATATATATATATATATATATATATATATATATATATATATATATATATATATATATATAATTGTTATTCTTCAGGTAAGAACTAAAAAAAATGTTTTCCCTATTTTTTAGGTATTGCAACTGGTGCTGCGATGGCTGGTTTGAGGCCCATTTGCGAATTCATGACTTTTAACTTTGCTATGCAAGCAATTGATCAAATAATTAATTCTGCTGGCAAAACCTTCTACATGTCAGCTGGACGTGTAAATGTACCAATGGTGTTCAGAGGACCTAATGGAGCAGCTTCCGGTGTAGCTGCCCAACATTCACAATGTTTTGGAGCTTGGTACGCCCATTGTCCGGGATTGAAGGTGAATAAAATTAGTATTTACAGTAAAATAATCTGTTTAATAATCTGAGAGAATGTTTGGCTTCTTGACTTTTCCCTCCTGATGCCAATCAACATGTAGCTTTGCCGTTTTTTTAAAAAATTTAAACAGTTTGTCATTGTGTCGTGTAGTGTTAATGTACAATTTTATGTTTTTGGCATTCTCAAAGATTGTTGGATAGGCCAAATTTCATAGTTCAATGGTTCATTTACGAGCAACTCAATTTATATATTTGACAGATCTTTTATATCGGTCTTATTACACTCCAATAAAAAAGAACTATTGTTTTTTTATTGGTATTGTTATTTATTATTGTTTTTTTTTGTTTTTTAAGTACGTAACAAGTATTAAAGAAAAATGCAGAATGTATGAAAAACAAAGGATTTATTTAATTTATTTAATAAATGAGAAGTAAGCGCACAAACAGCATTGAATAAAACAAAATAAACATCAAAAGTAATGATAATTTAGTAAGACGTATTGCCTCCTCTAGCTCTTATAACATCTAGACAACATTGTGTTATACTTCCAATTAATCTTCTTAGATAATCTTGATCGATATTATCCCATTCTATGGTTAACAACCGTTGTAGGCCCTGAAGATTAGCAGGAGTCACATTACCAGATCTCACCCTTTTGTGAAGATGGTCCCAAACATGTTCTATTGGATTTAAGTCCGAGCTGTGCGCTGGCCAATTCAAAACTTGTAAATTTACCTCTTGAAGGTACTCGGTAACGGTTCTTGCGTTGCGTAAGTCATTACGAATAAATGGGGCGTAAGGACCAACATGCATCTTCAAAATTTCTCTAATGTACCTATCAGCAGTTAAGGATCCTCTATCTAGCTGTACCAATTCGGTTTGACCCCTAAGAGATATTCAGCCCCAGAGCATAATAGAACCTCCTCCAAAGTTTGTCGCCGGTCTTAGGTTGCATCTCGTCTATAAACTGGTATTCTTCGATCCGAAGTGTATAAACAAAATCTTGACTCATCCGTAAAGAGTATATTACCCCAGTTGTCGATATTCCAGTTTACATGCTCTCTTGCAAATGTTAGACGTGCTATACGGTGTTCCCTTGTAAGTTTCGGGGCAGTGGCAGCTCTCTGGTCCTAATTCCAGACTCTCTTAAGATGTGCCTAATAGTTTCTGAAGACACACGTACATTTCAAGTCTCGGCTGTCATGTTGAAGTTGACTTGCAGTCACATGTCTTCGACGCAAAGCCTGAAGGACTAAAAATCTATTGTCCACATGCGTAGTTGCTCTTGGCCGACCTGTTTCAGTTCGTCCTTCATAAAGACGAGTCTCTCGGTACCTTACTACCACTCGTGTAGTGTCGACTAATTTACACCCACTACATTTGCCCCATATCTCGGACTTTTTCCGTCTTCAATGAGGGAAGTAATTCTAACCACTTGATCTCTCGTTAAATTTAAATTTATATTGTCACGACCTTCTATACTCAATATTTGATACGAAATTTTAAATTAAACGCAAACTGTATACTTTTACAAAAGTAAAATAAATACTGATAATATAAAAACCAGACAAAATAGCAATTAACTATTTTTTTTCTTAAACAGTAAGCTGTACTTACAATTTTTTTGTTAATATTTATTCTAGCCTTAATATTATTAAGGGTCAGAAAGAAATAATTTAAGTTAACCAAATGCTGACAGAAATATTTGTAATTTTATAATGATGCGATACTTGTTTGGCGGAGTATATTTATACAAGTTTGATCTTTTTTTTGTGTGAATCATCTCAAAAAATCATCATCAATCATCTACAAAAATCTTTTGTTGTAGTTCTGTACTATTTCCAAAATCTGTACGTTTTTGAAATCAAAACAATGGCTATTTTCTAGAGAATACTTTGCTAAGGAGTGTTTAATTTCTTGATTTGTGTACAATATCTCTTCTTTGTAGATATTGGTGTGTTCGCCCAATATATGTTAATTTGTAATCTTTACAATTTACTTTATAAACATTATCCGACTGATGATCTTTAGTAACTTTGGGTTTAAATTTTAAAAAATATTTTCCGGATGTTTTTGATTATTTCATCATTCATGTCCATATTCATATCCAACATTGATATCATATTTTCGACATTTGTTCGGACAATATATTAATGTATGGTTAGGGTATCCTTACCATAGTAAAAATGTCACCTAAATATATATATATATATATATATATATATATATATATATATATATATATATATATATATATATATAAGGACCACTCAGACGAGTGGTGGGTTCTTATATCGGTCTCTAGGTGGAGAAATAAAAGACAAAGTTGATAGGCTATCATCAGTTCATCTAAAAAAGTACAATACGAGAACCACAAAATCATGGAAACGATGTTGTTACCTTAAAAAGACATGTAGCAGTCAATGTTATTAACAATAATGTGAATGAAACTAAGTAAATGGACAGAACCCACCACTCGTCTGAGTGATCCTTATATATATAATATATATATATATATATATATATATATATATATATATTTCATATAATATTGATAATTTTCTCCCAAAAAATATTTAAAAAAAATTGTATTTCATTTGAAACAGTAGGTACTTGTATGAAGTATATCTGATAAAAATAAATTATTAAAATGTCTACAAATTACAGTGGGGTATAATATAAAATATTCAAAGTTACCTAATCTCAAATACTTAAGCTACCGCCTATTTTCTAAAGAGTTAAAATCATTATTAACAAATTAAGATAAACGAAATTTCATATTAATAATTATGATAGCAATCAATGAAGGTCTTTTTAAATTGTGAACAATTTCCTAAAGTACCCATTTAATTCGCAAAAAGCATGCCAAAAGATAATCTTCAAGGTAACGAGACCAATATAATATATGACGAATTAAAATATGCTACAAGTTACGAATTATACATTCAAGTGTAAAATAAACGAAACAGATTAATATTTGCCAAAATTTGAGGTGTATTTTTTATTTTATTTTTATTTAAGTATTTTGGTAAAGTAGACAAAATGGCTAATTTTAACTTTAACGCATTTAACTTAAAATTTTTAGTTAAATGCTTTCATTTTAGTCACCATACATAGCTCTAATACATACATACACCATACCGTACATATAGTTAATTAAAATATTGTTGTATAACCGTTATTTTCAAGCACCCTGTGGAATAATTTTGCAACAAAATTCTTTCAGTATGCCAATTTTTATTAAGAAATATTCTTTTCGTATATTTTGTTTTTTGTTTCATTTCTTTGAGTGCATTAGTTCATTTTTAAGAGAAAAATACCGAACTTGTCGCCAAGTTCAAGAAGTCCGGGCTAAAGGTCGAAGTTAATGGTTAATCACACCAGCAATACTGTAATTTCCCATGTCACATTTACACTGAAATAATGTGCGTTTTGCTGATGAATTCAGATTCTGCTTACATTCTCCGTAGCGGTGAACAAAGATTCGTAGAATACACGCTCATCCCCGTCTAAGCTGCGGAGGAGGTTCAGTAATAGTATGGACAGAAATAACATCACGGATCCTTGACCGTTCACCGATATATTGAGGGGATATTAGTCGATCGTGTTGTACCTTTTTTTTGTATTTTTGTTATATTAACATCTAAGATGTTATTTCATAACACCAAAGATAAAATAGAAGAATGGGAAAAATTTATACAACAGCTGTTCCGAGATGAAAGAATAGACATTACAATAAATAATGTTACTGAAAGCCCACCAATTCTAAAAGTCGAAGTGGAATATACCATTAAACAATTAAAGACCAACAAAAGCCCTGGACCTGATGAAGTTTATCCTGAAATACTTAAATTGATCGAAAGTAATAACATTGATTTGTTAGTAATTTTGTTTAATACAATCTACGATACTGGGGAAATACCAGAGGAATGGTTAGAATCTATTTTTATTCCCATTCCAAAACAAGCTAACTCCAGGCGATGCGCAGATTTTAGATTAATAAGTCTTATGAGCCAAGTGCTTAAAATTCTATTAAAAATACTTCACAATAGGGTATACAAAAGGTGTGAAAAAGAAGTTGGATACGATCAATTTGGATTCAGAGCCGGAATGGGGACCAGAGAGGCCTTGTTTTCATTACAAGTACTGCTGCAGAAGTGTTACGACCAACAAAAGGATGTCTTTCTATGTTTTGTAGACTTTGAAAAGGCATTTGATCGCGTAAACCATAATAAAATGTTAAATTCCTTGCAGAGCATCAACTTGGATAGTAAAGATCTCCGATTAATTAAGAACTTATATTGGAGGCAGAGTGCCAAGATTAGGATCGACGATCATACATCTAGAAATATTAGTATAAATAAAGGAGTAAGGCAAGGATGCATACTATCCCCTATGCTGTTCAATCTTTACTCGGAACTACTATTCAAGCAAGCCTTGGAAAACCTTTCCACAGGAATAAAAATTAATGGAGAACCAATATCTAGCATAAGATATGCAGATGACACTGTCCTACTGGCTGATACAGACACAAACTTACAGAGGGTTATAGACCACCTTAAGGATGCTTGTCGAGAGTTTGGAATGAAGATCAACGAAAAAAAAAAACAAAAGTAATGGTGATCCAAAGAAAACAGAATATCCCCTTACCTATAAAAATAAATGGGAATATTTTAGAACAGGTAAACCAATACAAATACCTTGGCTGTTGGATTAATTGCAAGCTGGACCCAGAACAAGAAATTAAAGCGAGAATTGCTTAAGCTAGGGATAGTTTCTTTAAGATGCGCGTTCTATTCTGCGATACACATATAAATATTAAATTGAGATTAAAACTTGTAAAATGTTTTATCTGGTCTGTTCTTCTCTACGGAGCCGAAACGTGGACTTTAAAAATAAAGAGCCTGAATAGAATCGAGGCATTCGAAATGTGGGTGTACCGTAGAATTTTAAAAATTCATTGGACAGCACGAAAAACAAATGAAGAAGTACTAGCTAGACTCAATTTAGAAAAAGAACTATTGAGAACAGTCAAAAGAAGAAAAACCAGTTATTTAGGGCATTTGTTGCGCAACGAGAAATATTACATCCCTCAGTTGATAATAAAAGGCAAAATAGAAGGAAAGCGAGGAATTGGAAGAAAAAAATTGTCCTGGTTACGTAATATCAGAAACTGGACAGGACTTGGATTTGAGGAACTCTTAAGAGCAGCTGAAGATAGACAAACGTTTGCCACCATAACCGCTAACCTCCATTCATGGAGACGGCACTTGAAGAAGAAGAACATCTAAGAACTTTTATAATCTATTTTACATTAAAAACGATAAATTAAATTGTTTGTTTTTATAATGTCAGAGAGGTATAAGGTACAGTGACCAAATCATCAAATACATATTGGCTTGTTTATCGATCATATAAGCACAGTTAAAGGTATAACTTCCATTACAGTAGGCTCTGACATGTACTTTTTCTTAGAGTAAATAAGTAACTGTGTGATGTGGAATATGTGTAGATCTTGAGGGGTTTACTTACTTTTGTTCAGAGCTTACCATTCATTAGTTTTGTTTAGATGTAATCGCAGTCTCTCTGGTGCTGTTACTGGGTTACCATTAGAGCTTAGGAAAGATTATCTGCAAATTTTGCAATATATCAGGTAGATGATTGGAGTACACTACACTGAGGTACACTAGATAGGATGCGGTAGGTAGGATGTGAGTTTTTTGTAGGCTTCGCTTAACTAGTCCTGTTTGGCACACCTTGTCAAAACAAGGCTGTAATACAGTACCATTTGTTTTGGAGTTTTATTGTTGTGTATGTTCTATGACTTGGCGTATTGTAGCATGTTGGTAGCGAAGTCCGAATTGATGGTCAAGTATGAGCTCCTTTTTGTCCAATATTGGGTTGATCTTTCTCAACAGAAGTTTTTTAGTACTCTTAGAAATGTCTGGGAGTTTGTAACGTTTGTCACTTTCTAATTACAATTTAAACATCAATAGTCTTATATGAGCCCTAATAGACAAACCATATTACTATATAGAAGTTTTAAGTTGAAAGTTGAAGACTTGAAACTAGCAACATCTATAGCATGGTGGCGGTGTCAACCTTACTGAAAAAAAAAGGTTTTAAGAATTCGTTTTGTGTTTTTTGAAGAGGAATGGTTTCAGTTACAGAACAAAGTTTTATTTAGTTATTTAGAAGGGAAAAGAGTACCACATACCACTGTATGCGATATTAGATAAGACGTTCATCGGAAGTCAAATGGGAACTAGAAATATTTTTTTCGTTGGAGTTTTGGTTAATCTGTAACAAGCATTTGCTTTATTTTTTTCCTTTGAGTTAAGTCACCGAACTTAAGTATTGGTTTGAATGAGAATTCTTTCCAGTGCCGTCTCTACCAGAGATTAGGAATCGACTGTAGGATCTCAACACGTTTGTTTTTAATTTAATTTTTTTATTGTTCTACTTTTAGTAGATCTTTCGATCTGTTTAATTCTGAAGCTGCCTCTGGTTAATTTCTTGGGAGGTAGATTGCCAACTATCCCTCCATCTTTTAGGTGGTCTTCCGGGGGGTCTTGAACCGGGCGGATTGTTTTCTATTGCAATTTTTGGGAGTCTATTCTCATCCATTCGTCTTACATGGTTGTACCACATCCTCTTGCGCTGCCTTCACCATCTTACAATATCTTGAATTTTGCACTGCTCTCTAATGTTTGTATTTCTCACTCTGTCTCTTCTTGTTTTCCCCATTATTGTTCTTAGGGTTTTCATTTCGGCAACCCTTAGCATCTGTTTCGTTTTGTTGGTATCTTCGCGCACTTCTATGCCATATGTCATGATCGGTCGTATGCAAGTCTTATAGATTCTAATTTTACTATCTGTGCGCATATACGGATTTGACCAGACTATCTCCCGCAGACATCGTGACAGTGCAGATGCTTTGTTGATCTGACTCCTCAGGTCCTTTACTGGGTCGTGTGTGCTTGATATATCTATGCCCAGATATCTGAATTGCATCACCTGTTCTATGGGGTTGTCCTCAACCACTAACTTACATCTGATACATCTTACATTTTATTACTTACTTAAATTGCCTAATATTAATATTAATATAATAATAATCATTTAATATAATTTTGATTAAACAATAATTATTTATCAGGGAAGGCTGTAGTAACCCTTCAGATCTCTTTGTAAGGTGTACACATCTAACCAGAGATTTATTTTTTTATAAAAAATGACATATATATTTATGACATAAATTTTTAATCGAATGCCCAAGTGTAGAAATATTTTCTATTATTCGAGTAGGTTGTACTTTCAAAGCTAGGTGTTTTATTTTTTATATTGTTATAATTTAATGATATGGTTTACATAAAAGGGTTTATAATTGAGGATGTCAATATATTTAGAGTTAGGTTTAGGTTGTACATAATATCTGTTTTGTTAGTATTTTTGTTCCTCCTATTTTCATAACTTGATTAAAGTAACCCTTACAGCAATATAATATACTTTGGGAAGTAACCTTGATACTTTCCTGGCGCCCAAAGTTTTCTTTTCAGCTCGTTCTTTATTTCAGTACTCTTTTTTTGGTTCACTTATCCCTAATTCTATCAGTTGTTCATATTTATTTCCAGTTAACTGTCTTTTAGAGGCATGCGAATTGGCTGAATCCTTCCTGAGTTTAATTGGTCATCCTCTGGCATAGCCTGCTAGCTAAGCAGCATGAAGTCTCACAAGATTGTGTTGTGAGCACATATCTTTCATTTTTTAGATAGGCCACTACATCGGCCAACTCTTGGTACTTACCACAGAAGCCCACTTATACAATTTTTGTTACAAGTTGACTAATCGGGCGGTATGATATGAGATGACATCTTTTGGATCTTCACCAGATTTTTATATGAGTATAAATTGTGCCACTTTTCATTGTAAAGGGAAGTAATGCAGACTTAAACTAGCGTTGAAGATTATAGTGATTATTCTGTAGCAATCATAAGTTAGTCCTTGAAAGACCAGTCATGAGGTCGTAACCCGGCGTCTTATTATGTTTTATCCCATTTGTGAGTATGTGTTTTATTTGTTTAATATTCAACCTGGAGATTGTTAGTTGTATTTGATATGGAGCATTGGGATTCAAAGGCCTTTTCCTGGTAAATGCAAAGACTGTCACTACTGTCACCTTTGAATTTAGATTTACCTTCGAAATTTTTACAGACAAATTAGTACATTTACATGGCGTCTTATAAAATCTATAAAAAAATAATAAACAAATATTAAAATTACTTTGCTTAAATAAATAATAATTCAAATATTCAAATTTTAAAAATACAGAAAACATAGTACACTTCCCGTCATATAAAACTGGTACACTTTTTTTCCCAATGTAAACTTGTTGTTCAGAAATCAATGTGTTTAGAAATCAATTCGTTGTGGCCATTACTGATAACGGAATTGCATTAAATCTAAATAAAAAAATAACGTTCAAAAATGTATAAAATTTTTAGATAGGTATTATTTTTATCATTGCCTAAAAAAACGGAATCTAAGAAATTAAATAAGCAGAGATAGGGTTCCCTGTGCTAATATCCTTTTAACTAGGATATTAGCACAGGGAACATTGGAATGGATCTACTGTAATTTTAACTTCAATTAATGTAATTTTAATGTAATTAAAATTAATATAATTTATTAATGTAATTTTCAAATGTGAAAAACTAACATTATACTTTATCCTACGTATTATATACTATTAGAAAATATTCGGTGCAAAATAAAGCTTTTCAAAACGTAACAGTTACAATCCAATATCTATTTGTAATGTTTTATTATAATAATTTGAAGTTTGTCTATCAGTCATTTTTTTTTAATTGAAATATTTTCATCATTATATTGTTATATTAATATATATTAATTGTTATAAAACACAAATCAATGTATGGGTAGTTAATTGAGATGATGGAAAATTACAAAATTAATATGAGAATTTTTTAGGATGCATGTTTAAACAAATTTAATGTGACTGACTGATCGAAAATGCTCAATAATGTTTTAGTTTTTACTATACTCTAAACTGGCGGTCTGTCATACAGCCTTGATTTTAGCTGGTTTTATATAATATTTGTGTTGAACTGGCAACGGTGCCCTAGAAATCAGAATGACACATGTAACAAGATCAACGTACACAACTTAAAAAACACGATTTTTGATTATAAGAGTTGTACCAGTTTTTTATGACGGGAACGGTACGAATCTTCGCAATAGTCTACTGTACCACTTTTTTATTTATAAAGCCTAGGTGGCGCAGGTTAGTGCCTCAACACACCGAACTTGAAAAAACTCAGTTGATGCATTCGAATACAGGCGGAATGGGAATTTTTATTAAAGAAAGATTTATTGTGTGATAGTTACTCGCCAGAGGTACCGTTGTCATTAAAATACAGTTAGAGACTCTTTTTAAAGACGACGAAGCTGATTTTCCTTTGTAACGAGGCATTTACTTAACACTACACAATACAAATTCCATTAATAAACCTCCATAACGCTAAAAGTAGTGATGTTTTATTTTTTTCTACTTTGGCATGAAGATCTCCCACCATGTGCATAGATTCTGTTGACATATTTATCTTATGCTAACGAGAGTTGAGTGTATACTTGAATAATGTGCAGAACAAATCTAAATTATTGCAAGATCAAGTACGTTCTATGACCTATGTCCTAATGATGTACATATCTATGTTCAGGTCAATTTGGAATATCTTTTATAGGTTATTCATAGTTAAAGCTATTGACATTTTTATTATTGTTGTTTTATTGTTATTAATTTCTTACTGTGTTTTAAGGTTATTTCTCCATACAATTCTGAAGATTGTAAAGGACTATTAAAAGCAGCCATTAGAGATCCAGATCCAGTAGTGTTCCTAGAAAACGAATTATTATATGGTGTTCAATATCCGATGTCAGACGAAGCCTTAAGCAAAGATTTTGTACTACCTATAGGAAAAGCTAAAATTGAAAAACCAGGTAAAATTGAACGATTTTTAGCTTAATTATCTACAAGTGGGATTTGTTTTTTTTTTCACTATAAATCAGTTATTATTAAGTCTTTAATTGAATTAGATGTAGAATCTTTCTACGTAGATATCATATATCGTACGATATATGATATATGTAAAAGGAATATTCATCAGAGCTTAACCACTTTCTTTAATATTAAGTAATAAATTATCACTACCAGAGGAGGGAATATTCACTACTAGATTTCTTTTGTTTTAACAACAAGATGATAGATCAAATTAAAATTGCTCTTTTTCAATATTTGGTACATCAAAGGAAAATTGATCATTTTGTAACAATTAATATTTGCTTATAGGGGGTTGAAACGGGGAACTGAAAAATTGTAGGAGACAGGGTAAGCAAATAAACAGGATACAGCAACAAACCGGTGATTATCTCACTTTACAAAGACTGCCAAATAGCATTTTGAGATTAAATCACCTCCTTCTAATCAAAACTCATGGAATTAAACGAAAATTTGCCGATTTTTAAAACTCTCTGCCGAGAACCATATTTTCTCGTTCAGACCCCAATTTGTTCTCTCCTTACCGCTACACTCGACCTTGACTGCTCACTAACCTTTCGTTGTCAAACTTGCCTGTATCTCCCCATACTAGTTTTTACTTCGCAGTCAATCTGGATTTCTCTCATTGTGGGAACTTAAATAAATTAAATTGCGTTTAAAACGAGGTTTACCTCGATAGCTACGCAGTATCTATTTTCTTAGATGACTTCTCAGAAACACTTGGGTGAACAAACTTCAGGTGTCTGTAACGTATTCTTCTTGATGTGCTTATCCGTTACGAATGTTGACGATCATCATGGCAATCTTTATCTTATCTGCAGCAGCGCGGAAAAGCTGCACAGATGTTGTATTGAACCAGATCCTGAGGTTCTTTAACCAAGATGTTCTTCTTCCTGGGCCTCGTTTTCCAAATATTTTTCTTTGTAGGATGGCTTGAAGGAGAGCATATCTGGATTCATTTCGCATAATATGTCAGAAGAATTGTAACTTTCGGGATTTGATGGTGGTCAGTACCTCTCGGTTCTTATTCATTCTTCTGAGGACCCCCTCATTTGTATTTAAGTATACAACCTTCAGATCACTGTTACGTACCAACCAGGGGTGTATGAAATAAATTATTATACATTATTATACATACGCCGAAAACGCTCATAATTTATTTAAAAGCTTTGTAGTAAATTCAAACCTGATACTACTCGTTACAGAACCTACTAGATTTAGGAATAATAACCAACCTTCTACTTTAGATCTAGTGCTTATTAATGACGAACAGCTGATTTCATCTCTCGAAGTCAGTTCTCCCATAGGAAAGTCAGATTATGCAGTTATAACGGCTCACATCCAGTTCAATCAAATATTACCCCGCAAAAATAACATTGTAACATATGCTACTACCGACTTTTCTGAAGTTGACACTGAACTCTCTCAAATCGACTGGCATTTATTTTTTGCAGACTTAAACGACCCCTCATTAATGTGGACTGCATTTCTCGATAAAGTCCACAATATAATTTCTACAAATACTATTTTCCGTAAGAGTTATAAAAACAACCTCAAACCCTGGATAAATCGAACAGCAATTAAACAAATTAATAACTTAAAAACATCTCTAAAAACCGTAAGACAAAAGTTTGAAGCAAACGTTATTGAAAGTGGTAACATTAAAAAAGTCTATAAATACATACGTTCCTCCATGACATCTAAAGTTTCCATTCCGCTACTTCAAAAATCCAACCAGACTTTATGCTCTTCTGACAAAGAATCTTCCGAAACTCTCTCTTTAGCATTTTCACAGGTTTTTACTAAAGAATTAAATGATGGTTATCTACCTGCTGTTAACTGTAATCGTGTCGGCGCATCCTTACAGCAAGTTGAATTCACAGTGGATCATGTCAAACAACACTTAATTAAACTTCGCACGGCCGCTTCACCTGGTTTAGATGGTTTAACACCAAAACTGTTAAAAAGGTGCGCAGACACGCTTGCAATACCCTTAACGTTAATTATGCAAACCTCTTTCATCCAAAACTCCTTACCCCCTAGTTGGAAATGAGCTTCCGTTACCCCTATTTTTAAAAAAGGCAACAAACTCGACCCCAACAATTATCGTCCGATTAGCTTGCTGCCAGTAGTTGCCAAAGTTATGGAAGCCATTATTTCCGAGGAGATGACCAAATTCCTTCTGTAGGAACATGTTATTCCAACACAACAACATGGATTTGTCTCTGGTCGCTCTTCTCTAACCAATCTCCTACATTGTGTTAACGACTGGACCTCATCCCTTAACAGTTCGCAGCCGGTCGACGTTGTTTATCTAGATTTTTCTAAAGCCTTTGACCGTGTACCTAAGCGCAGACTTCTACATAAGCTAGAACATTTCGGAGTTCGCGGTACTTTACTTCGTTGGATAGATGATTTCCTGACAGATCGATATTACAAAGTTAAAATTGGCGAATCTTTCTCACAAGACAGGTTAGTGGAAAGTGGAGTGCCTCAGGGTTCTGTCCTTGGACCTCTGCTTTTTACGATTTACACCAACGATATTCTTCATTATGTCTCAAGTAAAATATCTTTTTACGCTGACGACACAAAAATATATGCCAATCCAAACACAAACCAGCTAACCCTCCAAATGGACTTGGACTCTATTTTAACTTGGTGTTCCCAGTGGTTACTACCCTTAAACGCGGAAAAATGTGTAGTGCTTCGAATCGGCAAAAATAACCCACTTGTGCCGTACTTTGTTAACGGGCAGCCATTAGAATCTGTGTTTTCGTATAACGATCTTGGTGTTATTGTGAACAGCAGCCTAACTTAGTCCGATCATATTACCTCTATTTGTAAACGTGCAAACTCCAGACTGTATCTTATTCGGAGGTGTTTTTCGGGAGTTTCAATGCAATCATTTTGCAAACTTTACACTCTGTACGTAAGACCCATACTTGAATACGCTGGACCAACGTGGTATCCCGATCTGGTTCGAGACAAGACTCTGTTGGAAAACGTTCAAAGAAAAGCCACTCGAATTTCTTTGGGACCGAGAAGACCGTCTTATGCAGAAAGACTTAGTATGGCTAACCTAAGTACTTTTGAACTTCGCCGACAACGTGGAGACTTAATTACAACATTCAAAATACTAAAATTCAATTTTGGAAACCTCGATGAAATATTTATCATAAACCAAGATGAACGCCTCAGAGGTCATCAATATAAACTAAAGAAAGAAAATTTTTCTATAAGACAAAGGCAGAACTTTCTTCCAAATAGAGTTTTTGAGTGCTGGAATAACCTCAACGATAACATTGTCTCCGCTTCCTCTACCAACTCGTTCAAAAACAGACTCGACAGTTTTATAAGTTAAAATATTGTTTTTCTTTTAAACCAAAAATTGTAATTTTATTTCTTTTAGTTGTAATTTTTGTTATTTACTAGTAGGTGATAAATGAAATTTCTTTGTTTTTGGGCATAATAGGGACTTAGTTCCTCTGCCCTCGCTTATATTATAATAATAATAATAATTTTTATAAATGAACATCTATATAAGATCATGCAGAAAGCTGTGCCACCGACGTACCAAGTCACCTAGGACTCGATAACATGGAAAGAGTCCCACCAGAGCTCAATCCTTTTGATACCGTAGGTATCTGGGATGAGTGAATTTTCCCCTTAGAGGGAGTATGAGCCGTATGGCTAAATCTGAATAATTTTTATATATTTAAATATTCAATATATAAACGAAAAGATCATGCTACAAGTTTCATTAATTTCAATAACCTTTGGAAGACAAAATGACGTTTTCTTTAAGTAATCCCTTAGTAACCTGTGTTGGAACCAAAAATAATTAAAACAGAATAATAATTTATAAAATAAATTCAAATCACGGGGTGACCCTATTTTTATGCTCGGCAGTTTAGTTTTTCAAAATTCTCTTTTAACGAGCCTTGCCAAATTTTCGACCGCATAATATTACCTATCCACTTTAGTGTCTACCTAATACTAAATTAACGGATGTAAAATTTCAAAACACCGGAAAAACATTTTTTTACAAAAAACATATGAACTAAAAAATACAAGGGTAAATTAAACCCCACTGCCTTCAGCCAGGCTTTCGATTCTTCATCAGACATTACTCAAGATTTTTTTTACTTGCACATTTTACATAATATTTTTTTGTTTAATCAATTTTGAAACTGTCTTTAAATTATATTTGATTGCTTTTTTTTGTAGGAAAACATATAACATTTGTAGCTCACTCGAAAGCCGTAGAATTGTGTCTCGACGCTGCTAAAGAATTAGCTGGTAAGGGCATCGAAGCCGAAGTTATTAATCTCAGAAGTCTTAGACCATTAGACACAGATACAGTGGCGAAATCAGTTGCTAAAACCCACCACCTTATATCAGTTGAGTTAGGGTAAGTTGTGATATTTATAAAGTATGATATTTACAGTGTAATAAGTTATAGAAAAACACATCAAGTACAGCTATAACATTGCCAATAAATGGGCAATGTGTAGTTGTAAAATATGAAATATAACTTGTCATAAGTAAATTAACCTTTCAGTATCGTTTTTTTTTTCATCAAACGAAAAAATATTTTTGTCAACGAAACAGTTCATATCAGTTCAGACATTAAAAAAATATATAATATGTATATATAAAACAACTTTTATGAGTTCATTTGTACCGAAAAGTACTTAGCAAATCTAAAAAACTAGATCTTTTGAAACATAGAAAAGCAATTTCTTTCCTTTTGAAGGCACAAATGGACATTGCACTTCTGACATTTCCATCTTGATTTTCCTGTATAACCAGGGTTATTGCATCTTAAAGGTAAAGGTAGCTGTGACTGCTCTGGAAAATTACCAATATTATCAAATGGCACCTCAGTAAGAGGTCTAATTTCAATGTTTTGGCGTTTGGCAGCTACTACTGGACTAGATGTATCGTTTGAAGATATTCCGCGTTTTCGGTTATTGAAAGAGTTGCCTTTTATGAGGACTTCGCCAACTTTCATCTTGAAGTGTACAAGGTTTATGATATCTTTTTGTGGAATTTCTAAAGTATGCATGTGTCGTTTATACCCTAACCAAAAGTTTGTTACGGCATGTCAACTGCGTGAAAGTTTAGTCGAACAGTAGACTTTCTGCATTTTTTGCGATTTTTTGTTCTGTAAAACGCAATAAGAGGATCTGTTTTATCTATGCCACCCATGGACTTATTATACTTTTATGTAACTTTGGGTCGACTTACGTCAATGAAACATTTTATTTTTTTTTATTCCAACGTTTGACAACATGTTCTGTACCAACCCCAACGAAGTTGGATAGCATTATCACTGGCTTGTTATCTAACCATGTGGTTACTACAATTCCATCAGAAGAGATATTTTTTCCGTTGATCTTCTTTCGTTTTTTTGAAAAATCTTTTACATCAGTTAGATGTGGTTTAGAAAGTCTATTGATTCTTGCAGTACTAGCTAAAAGTATTGATTTTTGGTTGATAATTTGTAAAAGGTTATATCTCGTAAAATATTTGTGACAGTACAATTCATGCTTATTAGGTTCAAGTACTTTTGATAATTGCAGTACGATAGCTGCATCCTATCCATATTTCAAATAAGAAGGTTCTATTTCTGTGGTACTACCTTGGCAGAATAGAAAATTGTAAATCAATCCACTTTCATCGCCTAATAAATACAGTTTTACTCCCCATAGATTGTGTTTGTTTTTGATGTATTGCTTTATGGACAATCTCCCTTTGAAGGGCATGATTTGCTCGTATATGCAAACGTTTGTTTCTATCTGCAGTTCTCTACATCTCTTTTGAACTGATTTAAAAAACCTGGTCGAACTTTCCATAGTTTGTTCAATCATAATCATTCAAATATCAAGAGTATATGAATAACTTATCACTTAGTATATCCACTTCTAAATTTTATGATTTTAATTAAATATTAACAATGAATTTGAATATTATTGATATTTAAGATGCGAGACAATTATTCTGACCACAATTTGTATCGCTGTAGACACTTAAAGTATTTCTTAATCTGATTAAATGTTCTTTAGATAATTGTATTGTAATTTTAAAGTCTAGACGGCATATTGAAATATTCATTAGAAGGAAATAACTTTAAGAGTGTTGTCTTAATTATGTTAACAAACCGATCTCGAGGTAGAAGTCCAACTAGTTTCCTACATTATCTCACCATGACAACAGATATAAATAAGATTGTAATAAGTGTAACAAAAGCCTCATAGTGAATAAAAAATTTGTCTTGGTATCAATGTTAACAGGTGTTCAATGGAGACTAGCATCTGATACCACATGATGATAATAAATATATTGAAAAAGGAGATTAATCAGTCTTCTAATATCCCCGTTTTCATGCCTTTTATTACTTATGAAATGAACTTTGATTTTTTGACAACTTAAAATTGTAAATTGCAAATTCAGGAAAATTCGATGAAAAATCAAATTATTTTCACCGCTGATATAGAACCAAAGATATAGTTATAACCCGTATATCTCTACTCTCCACATTCTGTTCTTTTAACAATTTTACGACAGGAAGAAGACGCAACTCTTGGCTTAAAAACCTACGGCAATGGACGAACATAGAACTATTCAGGGCTGCTACAAATAAGATTAAATGGACACATGTAATGGCCAACGTCCTTAAGGATAAGGCACCGTAAGAAGAAGAACAATTTTACGAGTTTCTGATGTTGTACTCTATTCAAATCCTTTTGATAATCTATAAAGCAGACATAGAGATTCTGTTTAATATCTAGTCGTCTTTGCGCGGGAACGTTAAAAGTGAACATAGCCTCTCTCATTCCTAGTCCTCCTCTGAATCCAAACTGGGTATCATCTATATCTTCTATTTTTTATATAGTCTTCCATGTAGTATTTTGAGAAATATCTTAAGGTTTCGGCTTATTAAGGAAATTGATCTGCACTGGGAGCCTTCTGTCACATGTACTGACTTTGGTAGTGTTACAATCATGGACAGCAACCAATATTTGAGTATTACTCCTATTTTATATACTTTGTTGAACATATCTAAAAGTATATGCAGTGTTTCTTCGTCAATGTATTTAATTAGCTTAGTGGGTATCTGATCTGGGCCTACTGATTTTGCGGTCTTTGCATTTCTAATTGCCTGTTGGTTTTGGTGCCTGTTGGTGCGTATACTTGAATTAAGTTAACTTGTATTTTTGTCTTAAGCTGAACCATTATCATTCTCTCTCTGAGTAAGAAGTGAAGCTTATAACTGATTTGTTAGTTTCTGTGTCTAACAAGATTGAGACTCCATAGCGATGAGCCGGATCGTTGCTTCCAGCATAATACATCATGCCGTTTTTGGTTATGAGTTTGCCGGTGTCTGGCCATTGTACGTCACTATGCCCAGTATATTTATTTTAATTCTGGTCATTTCTTGTATTAAATTGTCTAATTTTCCTGGCTGGTACAAGCTTCTTACATTCCATGTTCCAAGTCTTATTGGTCTACATTTCTGTATGCTTAGACGTGGAATTTTATTATCTGAACAAGGATTTTGCTTGCTATCAACCTAGAAGGTCTCGTCTTTTACATGATCTTTCCCTTTTCTGCCGGATCTTGGTTTCCGGATTCCATGATCAGTAACGGTTTGACTTTTTTTGCGTATTTACCATGATGAATAACTAGGGATGTTCTGTTGAACCTTTGATGCAGTAGTTTTCTCGTGCCTTCTGAATTCTTCTGTCGTTGACCAATTTATTGGTTCTTCCGCCTTTGGAGTCGATTTCTCAGCTCCAGGACAAAAGATTGTCCTACTACCTACCGACTCATCCGCCCGAAGCCGTTGGTCGATAAGCAGGGGATTGCTTATACCGGTAATCACTCGGTCCCTATCTGCGTTAGCCATCAACATTGATTTTGTCCACCTTCTACCACGTGGAGGTGCAGATTCGGATTTTTCCTAAGATCTTTAAGATTAAAAGACCTTTCGGCATTTCCTAATTTCTCCAGAGCTTTAGAAAGTTTGCTCTATGGCGGGCAGTTAATCTCTGAAACGGCAAATCTGAAATATAAAATAAGCAAGGGGTTTTAAAAAAGAAGTGTCCTTAATTGATAGTTTAAAAGAAAAATTGGAAATTCTTAAAAAAAAACAAAATGGTGTAAATTTAAAAAAATGAACTATTTCGACTTTTTTAATTCAAAAATTTTTTATTAATATTACTTTTGATTATTGTGATAAATTATCATAGAGAAAACCAAAATAAACAAAATGCATCAAGTTTTAATAAAATTGTTTTCCTCTGAATTTTTAATCTACTTGGTCAATTTTAATAAACCTTGATGCATATTGTTTTTTGGTTTTCTGTATTTTAGTTTACCACAATTTGGCCAAAAAAAAATATATAAAATTTTTGTGACTGGAAAAGTCGAAAGAAAAGGTCAATTTTTGAACAATTTTTATAAATGTCCGTCATGGACCAGTAATTTTTGAATAAAAAATGTTTGGTGTCATCTTTAAAATACACGAACAAAGGAAAAAAACAAAGAAAATTTTTTGTAATGGTCAAAAGTTGTATAATAATAATATAAAGAAGTTTAATTGCCATATATAATAAATAAGATTGTTGATAAAAATTGTTGAAAGTGTGAAATTTTTGTGACTGGAAAAGTCGAAAGAAAAGGTCAATGTTTGAACAATTTTTATAAATGTCCGTCATGGACCAGTAATTTTTGAATAAAAAATGTTTGGTGTCATCTTTAAAATACACGAACAAAGGGAAAAAACAAAGAAAAATTTTTGTAATCGTCAAAAGTTGTATAATAATAATATAAAGAAGTTTAATTGCCATATATAATAAATAAGATTGTTGATAAAAATTGTTGAAAGTGTGCCTTTTTTAGAATTCTAGACCTAGGTTATAGTACCTAAAGTTAAAGGCTTACTTTGTCATAAAAAATATTTATTTTTATTTATGCAAATGGAATGATAATATATAAAAATCCTAAATATTTACATATGCGTTAACATATAACATAGGAAATGTATATTCTAATTATTTTTCAGTTGGCCAACATGTGGTATCGGTGCTGAAGTGCTCGCAAGAATAATGGAAACCGAAACATTCTTCCAACTAGATCAACCTGCCATCAGGATCACAGGAGCCGATGTTCCTATGCCATACGCAAAATCCTTAGAAGCCGCCGCTCTTCCAACGCCCAAAGATGTAGTCGACGCAACGAAAAAACTATTGAAAGTCAAGTAGATCTCGTAGAATTATCCAGTAACAAAATCATCATAATACATTCGATCAACAAGATGAAACTGCAAGGAAGAAAGTTCAAAGTAGAATTCTGAAGGCATTAGGTTCAAATGAAACTTTTTTGATGTAAAATATGTCAAAAGTACAATTCTGTAGGATAGATTTTTAGTTTTTTAAGTTTTAAATGGGCCTTTGGGTTCGCTTATAATACGAATACTAAAATGAATTTCAAGATCCAATTTTTTGGAATTTGGTTATATAATTAATATGCCGTAAACATTCTTCAGAATTGGTATGTAATGGCGTATTCTACATCAGTTAATATTGTAACATAACCTCAATTTTTCTCAGGTAAAACTTGCAATAGTCAATCTTTAAAATACTCAAAAACGTAATTTTGCTTACGTCGAGAATAGGTTATCTCTGCAACAAGAGGTTGTGTTGAAAAGTATTACGCATGAAGTTATTAGGTCAAAATCTGTGATATACGAGGCACTAGAAATTGCGTCTTAATTTGTGTTTGGTAACTCGTTATCACTTTTTATATATTTTATGAATTAATTTCCTATATTTTGTATCTTTATTTTAGTAGATATTAGTTTTCCTTTGGGACGCAATTTAAAAAATAGTTTTTAATTCTAATCACTTTCTAGTTACCTTGTATATCTCGTGTTGTAATGAAATTGTGATTGCCTAATTGAAAATAGCATTTTATTTACAAATACTTATTGCACAAATTACTCAATTTTTCAATTTTTGTCTTTTAATGTTTTGTTTTGTTGCGTACCTTTATTTATCCAATCAATTTTACTTGATTAATTCCTCGCATGTAAATTATCGAAAATAAATTATTATTTGTTATATATATGGTATTGTTTTATTTTTAGTGTCAGTTTTCAGTTCCTTATTTTCTAAATCCTGAGAACGGCTAAATACTGACTTATTCATCACCTCATGACCTCGACCCTCAATTATCATTTTTATAACTTAAGGTCGATTCAATCAGTTACGTCTAGTCACAGTTCCGGCGCCGAACTGAACAATCCGTCATAAAGTCCTTTTACCCTATGATGGCCGAAATGCAATTAAGATATGATCAGTGGGGCGTTAATATTTAATTCCGAAAGCTTGAAAAGTAAAAATATTTAATTTCCTGTATTTTATGTTCAGTAATAATATTGGACTAGTGAAAGACTAGTTCAGTTTTGCAAAGATAACGAACTCATCAAAAACACGTGGTATAAACTCCCAAATCGAAGAATATATACATGGAAAGCACCCAGAGATGATGATGATATTATAATAAAAAACCAAATATATTACCTAATAATAAATCAAAGATTCCGAAATGCCATATCTGCTAAAGCGTACCTAGGGGCAGATATAACAAGTGACCACAATCTAGTTTTAGCAAACATGAAACTAGTTAAAAACAACTGCCAAATCACCGATAATCAATCTGAGAAAACTAAAAGAAACATATATACCAACAAATCAAAGAACAATTGCACAAAGAAGTTCAAGAAGTAGAAAGGCAAAAGCAATTGACAGCAACAGATAAATGGAGAAAAGTAGAGGAGATCTTGAGAAATATCACAAAACAAAAACTTCAAGAAGACACATCATCTAAAAATAAACAATGGATCACATAAGAGATAAAAGAACTGATGACGGAAAGAAGGGCACACAAGAATTAAAACGAAGAGCAGTACAAAAAAATTAATAAAAATAAACAGAAAATCAAAGAAGCTAAGGAACTGTGGCTGTCAGAAAAGTGCGAAGAAATACAAAGGTTAGATAAACAACATGACAGTTTTAACATACACACCGGAAAATCAAAGAGACAGCTGGCATATACAAGAAGAAGGGTATCGGAAATATCATGGATAAAAATAACAAGATAATAACGGAATGTATAGATGGGAAGAATACATAAAAGAGCTATTCGAAGACGACGAGAAAATTGAGGTTATTGAAACAAGAGGAAGAAATGGGCCACGAAGCATCAAAGACGAAATTGTGAAAGCACTAAAACGTATAAAAAATAAGAAGGCCATGGGACCAGATGAAATACCTACAGAAATCTTAAGAATATTAACAAAAAATCATGGGCACAATAATATAATTATTTAATGATATTTATTATACGGAGAGATTCCGAAAGAATGCTAAATATCAATATTCATTCCAATACATAAAAAATCAAACGCAATGAAGTGTGAAGAGCACAGGACAATTAGCTTGATGAACCATATTTCTAAAAGTGTTCTTACGAGTGATACACGAACACATCTACAAAAAATTAATTGTTATGAGGTTGAATGCTCGAATAAATGAACTTTGAAAAATAAGGCAATTGTCGAGCACAAGTTTAATTAAATCTTGCCCAAGTACTTTCGCTTCAAATAGCATCTTCAGGGACATTTCGTCAAATATGAGCTATCCAGCAAGCGTAGAATGTGATAAACATGAATGTTAACATAAAATTGTACAAAACACTACACTAAAACAAGGACAAACAGTTTAAAATTACTTAAAAAGATTCTACGCACTACATTCTTTGTCAGTATCAGGACAGAGAATCTTTGTCAGTATCTCCTTCAATTGGATTCGGAAAAGACTTTGGCACCAGAGAAGTATTAATTACGCTACAAATACTAATCGAACGATATCGAGATGGCAATTGGGACGTATTCATATATCTAGTCGACTTCGAAAAAGCTTTCGACAAAGTACAACACCGAAGAATGGCAAAAATACTGCAGAACACAGAATTAGATGACGAAGACGTGAGAATCATTGCCAATCTATACCGATATCAGAAAGCCATAATGCGAATAGACCAACAAAAATCGAAAGAAATACCTATAATCGTGTAAGTAAGACAAGGATGTGTGCTTTCCCCTTTACTTTTAATATGTATTCAGAAGAATTGTTTAAAGAGGCATTAGAAGACGTAAATGAAGGTATTTTTATTAAAGGAGTACATCTGAATAATCTCAGATATGCAGATGACACAATACTCCTTGCGGACAGCAGAGAAGGACTACAGATCTTGGTTGATCGCATTACCCAATACTGCGACAGGTATGGAATGACACTGAATACAAATAAAACAAAAATCATGGTGGTAAGCAAGAACAAGATTGAGGAAGACAGTGTTTATGCTAAAGGAAAACTTTTAGGCAGGGTGCACAGATATCAGTACTTAAGTTGCAAACTAAATGAAGAATGGGATAGAAGTACGGAAATAAAACGGCGTATTGAGATAGCTAGAAGTGCTTTTAATAAGATGAAAGCAATATTATGCAATGAAAAACTCAACATTGAAATTATAACTAGAGTATTGAGGTGCTACGTGTTCTCTGTTCTGTTGTATGGAGTTGAGGCCTGGACAATTACGGAGACGACAGAGAAAAGACTCATTAACTTTGAAACGTGGTGTTCTCGTCGTAGAATGTGGAAAATATCTTGGACACAACACATAACAAATGCGGAAAACGCTACGAAGAATGAAAAAAGATAAAGAAATACTCAACACTATAAAGAAAAGAAAAATGAGCTACTTTGATCACATAAGAAACGAGATATACGAATTGATGCGGCTGGTCATACAAGGGTAGGTGGAAGGCAAAAGAGGACCAGGAAGAAGACGCACGTCCTGGTTGAAGAATCTGAGACAATGGAGTGGGAAAACGTCAATAGAACTTTTCAGAACGACTGCAGATAGAGTCAAATGGGCCATGATGATCGCGAATGTTCTTAGGGATGGGGCACATTAAGAAGAAGAATAATATTGGACTTTACTGTATCAAAGACAAATAAAATGAATATAATATGTATATACAGGGCGTGTTAAAAGAAGTGGGACGGAATATTTCGCATACTCGAAATTATTTGTCGACATCAAATGTTCATCAAGGTCTCTATAAGTCTCTATTCTGCGTAGAGTAAAAATTATACGAATGGTTTTGCGTGCAGTAAAATTGGAAAATACTTGTCAAGTTGCTGGTATGTCCCAATTTGAATAAAATACATCCAAGACTTTAATTTCTGCAGACACTGTAATAAATATAACCTTGAAATAAATTGGCAGTAAATCACTTCGAGTTTTCAGCAAAACAAAGGGTTTAGACACGTGTAGTCCAGTAATTAATACCAAAGCTCTTGAGAGTATGCAGTTCAGTATTTAGACTAAGGTATTTTATCGTTTAACTAAAGCACACCACAAATTCCCAATTGAATTCCTGAGACACTTTTTTGTTACTTCTTTTTAACAAATGAGTTATCCTATTCACTGTCTGATATTTCACTATCAGAGTCGTCACTCTCTGAATTGTCTATCCGAATAATTAGAGACCGGACCTCATCTATAACTCGCTCGGTTTGAAAAGACTGAACGATTATGTCTTCCATATGTCTAATACAATTTTTCCATTGTTCTGCCTTTATTTGTTCTAGCGATTCTTTCCATAAACTTAGAACGCTAGCGCCATTAGTTGTTTTATGCATGTTTATTATAAAAATTTTTGGCTATACCCCAAACTAACTAATTGCATAATAGTGGCAATGGTAGGGCGAAAGTCGAAGAACTTCATGGCCATATTTAAGAGCCATTTGGTCAGTATCAAATTTCTTTTAAATTTTGTGCTCTCCACACCTTTGAAACAAATTAACTTGTTGACAATGACTTTTCTGTCAACCACAACTTTATTTCTTCTTTTGTCCAGCTGCTTGAAGGAAATATCTCTTCTACTCTTGAGTGGTAGGATGCATTATCTAACACTATTATGGATGGTCGCTCCAATGTTTTTAACACATTTTCTTTAAACCATTATTCAAACCATATTTCCATGGTAATGTAGCGTTTGCTAATTAAAATAATGTAGCGTTTGCCATTATCGGAACGACTAGGCATTTCTCTTCCCAGTTAAGTTTTTTACAAGCATATTCTAGTACTGCGGTAAACAGTTTAGGCGATAAGGTATTACCATGTCAGACTCCTCTGCCGATTGGGATATGATCAGTGTTTTTATGTAGTTTTGCCGACATAGCTGCGTTCCTGTATGTATTGTAAATTAACCTTGTATATCGATAGTCAATGCGGCATGCTTGTAGTGCATCCAGGATTTTGTCAAATTTTACCATGCCAAAGGCTTTATGGAAATCTACAAAAGCCAGAACGAGTGATCTATTGTATTCTATAGTCTTTTCTATTACCATTTTTATGCTCTGTAGGTGATCAGTTGTTCCAAATCGAGTGCGAAATCCCACTTGCTCTATTGGCTGGTAGAAATCAAGTTTTTTCTTAAGACGATTCGTTACTATTATTGTAAGGAATTTGTATGACTTAGAAGACTTATAGGTCTGTAGTTTTCTAATTCATGGGAATCTACTTTTTTGTACAAAAGAATTACCTCAGCGTTGTCCAAAAGGCACATATTAAAAAGGTTTTTTTTTTTTTCAATCTATCAGGTGATTAAAATTGTGAGTCTGAGAGTTTAATATTGTCTGGACTTTTAATTATTGTTGAAATTGATCTGTTCTGGAGGAATAGATGATCAAGTCATAGGTGTTACATAGCAGTAGAGATTACATTGAAAACTACTGACATTAGAAAATATTGTTGATGAAGTCATTTTTGTCAATTTAGATATTACTTCATTACTTGATGTATGCCAATAATTGATAAATTGCAAAGATAATGGCATACCTATTTTCTTACAGAATGCTTTACTAAATTTGATTGTGCTCCATAGTCCAATAATGAAACTACCTACTTGAAAATTGCCATACTGTCTTAAACCTTGAATGTTACGGTGGATAATAATATTGATACATTTTTATTATACCTTCTTTGGTAT